AACTCTGATATGCAGATCATAATGCTTGTGAACAGATAAAATGAATTACAATGAGCTAGGCCCATCATATTTCAACTCTCTAATGGGTAGGAAGGTCTCTCTCTTTCTACCCAAGCAATGTCCAAATGTCTCTTCTTAGAGTCAACTTGAGGCCATTTAAGGCCCTCAAATCTGTGCAGCATCTCATTAGCAAATAAATCTGGAGCCAGCTCAAAGATCTTAAAACTGAAATCACCCTAACAACAGGATAGGGAAGCAACCCCAAAATAATGTTGATTGTCAAGCTGCTTAATATTTACATACATTATTTCATTTCAATCCTTGCTAGTCAAGTAAGAAAACCTTTCCACTTCTAACATGTGGAAACTGAGGAACAAAGGAGTTTAAGCTTTGTCCAGGTAAACCCAAAAATCTGACCGGAGTCTACCATACATTATTAATTCCCATGCTCTTAATGCTTTCTGCCCAACATCTCATGAGCAATGACAACAACGGGAGACACTGAGACTTTTTGTTCTCTCAGTAAAATCCATGTTTATTATAAGAATACATGCTTGGGAATCTGCTATCCTTACTCAGTTGAAAATAAGATTTCACAAATGGAAAAGCTTATTTGCAAGGAAACTGGCCTATTTAGGGGAAAAAACGACACTAGAACAGTGTTTTCCTATTTCAGAACTTAGATAATAACTGGAAATAGATGCATTTCCAAATCAAGGGGAAGGACAAAGGAATTAGAGAAAACTAAAACTGCCAAAAGGCACTCAAATATGTAAGCCAATAACGTGTCAGAAGGAAGCAGCGACTGGTAGTCTCTACTTGTTTGCTGAAGGTAATATGTTAAAGGGAGGTTCTTCACAATCTCATTTTGGGGAAAGCTGCCTATAGCTCTGGTCTCATTGTGAATTTATCTGCAATACCACTGCCTCTAGCAGAACATCAACCACCCCATCTGCTGTTTGCACAGCAGCGATTCTTAGTACTGCTTACTACTATTTCAACAGCAAATGCCAACGCAAGCATGCTAGCAAACAAAACTAAACTAAAACAGCTGTATGGAGTTTACCCAGACAGTCAAATGTTTATGCATCCCTCCACACCAATGAAACCCAGCCTGCCCTCATTCATCAACTGTGTGCTGCACGCCATGCTAGATAACAACTCTTCTTCACCAGAACAGCATCTCTGGAGCTAACGGAATCCCAGTGGTCTGCCTCCATGAAGAATGATGCTCACAATACCAAAGCATGGAACCTGTGCCCGTTACACAATAGGTGCCCCGTTAGGGCCAGTCATGAAACCACCAGGACTCAGAGCAACAGTTCTTAACCCTGGCTGCATAGTAGTCACCTCAGAAGCTCAAAGATCACATCAATGCCTGGGCTTTTCCCCAAACCGACAACATTTGATCTGTGAAGGTCAGGCTAAGCATTGATGATTGCTACTGTTGTTTTTAATTTGTGTGCATGTGTGTGTTCACATATGTGCTTTTCTGTGTACCTTTACATCAGGTGCTCTTATATGCGCATGGAGACTGCAGGTTGTTATTAGGCATCTTCCTCAATTGTCTTCCAACTTTTGAGACACAGTCTAGGGCTCCCTGATTTGTCTAGAGTATCTGATTAGAAAACCCCAGAAATCCTCTTGTCTCTGCCTTCCCAGTGCTGAAATTATAGATGCATACTGTGGTGCCTAGCTTAAAAAAAAAGAAAGAAAGAAAAAAAAGAAGAAAATAAAGAAGAGAAAGGAAAGGAAGAGAAAAAATGAGTGCTAGAGATCAAACTCAGGTCTCAGCGCTTGTATAGCAAGTACTTTATCAATTAAGCCTCTCCCTTAGTGCCTATGAATACATTTCTTAAGGCTTCTCAGATGACTCCCAAGTAGTCAGGGTTGAAAACTACCACCAAACTGAAGTATTTCTAGAGAGAACCTACAAATTTAATGAATGGTATAACAATCACAAAAATCTCCCTCCTGCCCCTTTCACCTGCCAAATGACACATTCATACAGTGTTACTTTAAATTAGGTCTCATTATTTATTTGCTTATAGTGAAATGCTAAACTACAATACTTGAGGTAACTCACCACACCCCTGTGGCCTCAGCTTATTCTGAATTCCAAACTGTATGGTTTTGAGGTGGCCATGTACGGATGCTGAAGGCGAAGAGAGTGCAGCCGACACTGTCCAGCAAGGAAGAAACTCAGCTCAGATCCCTGACAGGAGGCACCCTTCAGAGCCCAGGCATGATTATCAGACTCTTTGTGCTCTTAAAGGAGAGTAATTATAGGCATGTGAAAAAAGGGAAGCACTCCCTGAGGAACTCTTCCTCACATGCTTCCCAAGAGGCATGAGGGCCATTAAAAATTCCATGATGAAGAGGAAAAACAGCCTGGGAACAGCCAGGAGGCAATACAGCAAATTAATACAGCAGCCCTCCTCAGGGAAAGCTGTGATAAAACAGGAAACACTTCTCTCTTTGCAAAATAAAATTATACCACTAATGATAACACAGTCACCACACACGCGCACAAATCGTTCTAATGATGGGTGTAAAATTCCCAGTGCTGCCCAGATGCTTTGAAAGACATTTCTTCTTACTACAAATAAAACGGAACAAGGAAAAGATAAAATCTCCATTCGAAACACTTTCTAATGCAGTCACTCAGCTGCCTCCTCTCCAGCACACTGCTCCTTACACCTCTTCTCGATGCAATGCTTTTGCTAAATGGTCCACTCTTCTTAAAACACGTGGTTCCAGAACCCACTGTACACGTGCCCCAAAGTAAAGTTAGGCAGGCCCTGCTCCAGTGACACCCTGCTGCATGGGGACCCCATCACTCTAAAGGGTTGAGAGCTATCCCTAAGATCTCAGTGTCTCTCACTCATATTTTCTGAAACCTGCTCTGCTCATTCCATAGAGTAGCGCCTTACAAATCTTCTTGTGTTTTTCACTAGGTACAAACTGTGAAGGAGAGAGTATACAAACAACACACAAAGAATGTGCACACTTGTGGTACTAGGCCAAACAAAGATACACAATTTAAAACAAAGAAAAATTTTCAGGATAAAAAATGAATGCTAACTCAAACATTTTTCCCCAACTTCAAACAACCTGCATCCAGCCTACTAATTTATGACTGCTACCTAAAGACAAGACAAAGACAACTGGTAATCACCACCATCCTCTCTCTTTTGCTTCTAGCAAGAGTTCAAAACAACAGCAGCACTCCCCTGAGCTGTGGGCACTAGAAGTTTTCTTAATGTTTCCAGGGCCAGCCATACATGCCACCAGTCAAGAGAGCAACAATAAAGACAGAATAACAGGGTGCGTAAGTATCATGAATCGAGTTCTGGGTACTGGCCACAGGAGGGCTTCTAATGGAAGAAGAGAGAAACGCTGATGTTGCCCTAAGTACAGTTCAGGTAGCAGATATGGAGGAAGGAGAGCAGAGGGATTCACTCTGTGCGCTGGATTTATGTGGTGCTCCTCATTTGTCTTCCCAAAGAACATGCATAACTACTACTTTATTATCAAGACAAAACAGAGGCATGTTCTTTGGACTGCAATCTAAAAAACCTCCCATGGGCCTGCATTAGGAGCCCCGCCTCTGTGTTTTGGGGGAAAGCTTTTATCATAGCTGTCAGTTTCCATACCTGACTTTCTCTTGAGAGCTTCAGTTCTAAACAAAAAGCCTTGCACACAGTAGGGAGTCAGCAAATGCTGAATGAATGAATGAATGAATGATTAACACATAGCATGATACTGGAGTAAGGGCCTACAGTGGAAGTTTGTACCACCTCCCAATTCCACATTCTTAGCAACACTATTTACAATGGCCTCTCTTCTCAAAAGGTTTTTCTTCTCAAAATACTACTTTCTTAGCAGAAAGATCTAGCAGTAGGTTATGCATCGGGGCTCATTATCCTAACTCTTTGTATCTATGTCCAAGGAACAGCTACTTTTTGTGCAGCTACAGTACAAGTGTATGAGCTCACTTACTTAAGAGCTGACTAATAAAAAAGCATTAGAAGCTGAGTACAGTGCCACATCCTTTAATCCCAGCACTTGTGAGGCAGAGGCAGGAAGATTTGTGAGTTCGGTGCCAGCCTGGTCTACATAGTTCCAGGACAGTCAGAGGTACACAGTGGAAGTGGGAGCCTGTCTCAGAAAACAAAACAAAACAAAACACATCAGAACCTTGGGAATGAAATTTTTCATGCTATTAAAAATAGCAAGAGTTCTTTGGTCCAGATTGTTAGCTGTTCTATGCACAATAACACTACTAAGAAATGCTATCATCAAACCATACCCACTTCCTTGTCACCTGAATTAAGAGAATCCATAATGGGAAATGTGATATATACATACAGAAAACCTAACAAGTGCCAGGTGCACATGCTGAGATTTATCAGGGAATTAGTCAAGGTTTCTGCATCCTAGAGAAGACAATGGAGTAGGGGTAGAATTTTAAATAAATTAGTTCACATATTCACTACAGACAATGGTAAGAATTAGGGAAGAAACAAAGTAACCAGATGGTGTTGCAGATGACCCCTTAGTTATCCAGGGGTTCAAAGAGGTTTCCAGACAATGAGAACGAGAGCAAAGGTCCAAGGCAGGAAAGGCTGCCATTTTTAAAGAAGAAAATGAAGCTCCCTAGTACTGTTAATCTTTCCGCTCAGAGAATGGACGGAACTGTATGAAAGGAAGCCGGCCATGTTGGCAGAAATCAGATTATGCAGGGCTTTGCAGGTCATGGCAAGAGACATTAATAATGTTCTTTGAAGATGGGCTTTTAGAGGCAGAAATAATGCAAAATATGGGCCAGAAGACATATAAGTTCCTCCACCCTCAGCCTGTTTCTGCATCTGTGAAACATCAACTCACCTCTGAAGGATCAAATCAGATCCTGTGCACATATACTATATAATCTCAGGGTTAAGAACAGGAACACAACATTTTCTAAAAGAAAATAATCGCTACTGGGAGTCAATTACCTGGCAGAGCAGTGTGCAGGGGAACACCTTCGATGAGAAGAGTCAGCAAGAACATCCAGGGAGTAAAGTGGGGAGAGAGGATTAAACTGTGGGGATAAATCAGGCTGTTTTAGTATGGCTTCACTGAAAGAGACCTGATTTCCAAAGAGCAGCCTACATGCTCTCTTTGACTATGTCCAACCCTTCTACCATAAGCACCGATATCATTCAATAAAGCTGTACATGTCTAACCTTATGTCCATGATGTCCCAGCATATTACAGACAAAACTATTTCTTATCAAACAAACTTTTAAGCAATAATCACTTAAATGGCAAAATACAATACTTCTTAATGGACAGTCCAGGAACTTACACCTAGTGATTATCCACTATCAGCCTTTTCCCAAGAGGACTAACATGACATTGCTCTTCCAAGGACACCCCAGCACCCAGTGTAAGTACAGTGCAAACAGAAGGCGCCTAGAGTTGGAATGCCGAGCTAACTGAACCACACTGATTTGCTTATGTTTAGAAGTTGCATCACCTGTGAACTTTGCTAGCCTCCTCTCGAGGGTGTATAACTGGCCATCTTACCTGTCTTATGGGTTACTGGCACTGCTAACTCAGGTACTGTTTTCAGGTCATAAAGTAATTTTAGTTTCTCATCTATTGACCCTAAAAGGTGACTGAGAGGGTGAGAGTGCAGTGCATATGTTAGCATACCATCCTTAGCACCAGAATTCCAAAGCCAAACAGGAGGCTGAAGATCAAACAGGGTACTGTGTACAAAGCACCTCGCTTTATATTTGCTAGCCTTCTTTGTACTTTTCCTGCAATAAACAGTCCTTAGAAAAATGGGTACCTTAATGACTTAAGTCTGAAAGAACTTGAGTGGTTAACTTCAAACATAGTTAAAAACAAACAAACAAACAAACACACAAAAAAAACAAAACCAGAAATTTAGCTAGTACACACAGCTTTGCAACTTCAGGAAAACAGCAGAAACCCATGATGCATTGTTCCTCACTTATACATAAGAGATGTGGAGCAAATGATGGGCATAAGTCCTGCCTTTGCATGCTCTGAAGCAAATACAATCCCCACTCTAGTTTAACAGTCCCCAAATCTCCTGCATGCCACCTCATGACCCTTTCTTTATCTACCTACCACCTGCACTACTGTTTATGCAGAATTTTCTTTACACCAATTTCTTAGTCTCAGCTTTATCTTGTTTCCACAAGGTAAGTCTGACATAGTTACATTTTTTTCTAATACACATTTGTTAATAAATAACTTAAAATACATAAACTAAAATCATCTCATAAACACACACTGGTTTTATCTTCTACTGTTCTTGTTAATTGTGAAACAAAAACTTCCCAAAGAACTTTGCAAATATAAACTGTGTAACATAATAAAATGCTAAGTAGTCCAAAATAACCAACCAGTCAACGAAAGGGCAAGAGGAAGCCTGAGAAATTTTGTCCATCAGTTTCCATCAATTTCACAGCTCAGAACTACCCTCACCTCTACGCTAAAAGGGTTTCAAACATCTATAAACCTAACAAAAATGACCGTAAGTCACTTTTAAATCATGGACCCACTCAAGGTCTGAGTAAACCAAGGCATCCACAAAGGAGAGCCAAGGAAAAGACTAAGAGGAAAAGGCTCTAAGGCCGTGATCACTTCCCCAGAAGGAACTCAACCTCTTCATCCTGTGCTCAGATGTCACAGCACAGGATTCGCACGGCAAACTAAACCAGAGACATGAGATTCTCTTTACCTTTTTAATCAAAGTTCAAAACTAAAGGAATGGGCTCAAGGGTTAAGAGCAAACACTACTCTTCCAGAAGACTCGAGTTCGGTTCTCATTAGCACTCATGTTAGGCAGCTCCCAACTGTCTGTAACTCCAGCTCCAGAAGATCGGACGCCCTCTGGCCTCTGAAGGCACCTGAGCTTACATGTACACAAACCCACATGGACACATAAGTACAAATAAACCTTAGGAAAAAATGGAAATAAAACCAGTAGTGTGTTACTACTAAGAAGCTGACAAATGCAGCTGAATCTAATCTAATCTAACTGGCCACAGTTCTTACAGGTGAGCAAGGGCAGTCTGGAACACAGCTCTCAAAAAAGTCAAGAGTGATTGGGAAGTGATCTTACTCACCTCATGTGCACAAGCAGAAATGGGAGGAAAATCAGAAGCCAATGCTTTATTCTTTCTAAAGAAAAGGAAACTGAATGATAAAAGATGACCCAAAAAAGTTATCTTACCTGCTTTCGTTCTCTTTTCCCAGCTGATGGTAACCAGAAACTAAAGAGAGAATAACAGGAAAGAAAACAATGAAAGAAGTGATAGGAAAAGTATGAGGGAAGAAGGTAAAAGGTGGGATACTCAAGTGAAAACAAAGAAGGAACTGGGAGGGAAGCAGCTGAAGGAGAAGGACACCAGCTAGGTGTGAACGACGTCTCCTGATTTCTCTCTTCAGTGGAGAAGGCAGACAAGGGACAGTCAACTAAGACTACAGCCTTATCTCAGCTGTGCAGTGAGAAAAAGAGGTTAGATATGTACAGGACTGCCCTTGGGCACTGACCATAATGATTAAGGAATAAATTATACAAGTTCTTTAACATATACAAATATGGGGCACTTATGCTTACATGTGTAGTTGTATGTGTGTATGTGTGAAGGCAGGAGTGTAAGTTCACAGGAGCACATGTGTGTGGAGGTCAGAAGTTAATGGCTGATGTCTTCCTGCCTTACTCTCCACTTCATTTATTGAGGCAAGGTCTCTCACTGAACCTAGAGTTCCCTGCTGGCCAGCTTACAATGGGATCTACTTCTCAAGTGCTGTATTACAAGCAGGCCTAACACATCTGCCTGCTTCTTCATGTGGGTGCTGGGGATCCCAACTCTGGTCCTTATGCTTGACCCACTGAGCCATTTCTCCAGCCCCAATATGTATGCATTTACTCAGCAGATATTCAAATTTTTGCCATGGAAGACCCGCAGGAAGGCAAAGCACACAACAAAGCCAACCGTTTAGGAGACGAAGCAAGGCCAATGATTCCTGTGTAGCTACAGTCATGCTTCTGACTGCATTCACCATAATAACAGGGACAGAAATAGTTCTCCTTAAAGAGGTCTGAAGGAGAACAGAAGCAATCAGACATTTGGAATGACCATTAAAAAAAATTAAGAGAGAAAAATGCATTTAAAATATTGTATCTAGTGGTGGACTCATAGCACCTAGAAATATAACAGGCAGCAAAGTAAAAAAAAAAAAAAAAGAAATAAAAATACTCTAGAAAGGAAGAAGAAATAACTGTCATGATTTAAGACCTTAGTCATCTTAAAAAAATTTTAATTATTGTGTGTGCCACAGCACATTTGGGAGGGTCAGAGGACATCTCTGTGGAGTGGTTCTTCCCTTCCACCTCAGCGTAGGTTTGGGAATTAAACAATGACAGGTGGAAAGCACTTTCAGCCACAAGCCACCCTGCCAGCCTGACTTCATCCATCTTAACTGTGAGGAAACACCAGTCTTTAAGATCCCCTCTTGGTTCTGAAGTCTAATAGAAAGATTGCTTTATAAAAGCCTTCTCTACCGCTTTCTCCAAGATCCAGGCTAGGAGAGCCAGTAGGCACGTAGGCACTTACTCTTTCTGGCGAGGGTCACTGATGACATGGCTTATCCTCTCGGTTCCTAAACTGCTTAGGCTGGTCTCCTAAAATGATAAGAACAAGAGTGTCATCAAACCACAGCTGTCGCCAAGCTCAATTTTTTTCTAACTATGCCAGTCAATAAGGTTGTGTCAATCTTAAAATCCAACAGCAACTAATTTTTTTAATGTGAGTCCATCTTAGAAGAATCATCTATTATCTAGCTAGTTTCTGCTGACTCAAAACAACTTAAAAAGCCATTATAAATGCTGTTTGTTGGACATGGGATTCTTTTCCTATTTTAAATTTAGTTTTATATAAGTGTGTGTGCTGGTACACGTGTGGGCAGGCATAAGTGTGTGCATGAATGGAAGCCAGAAGACCATCTGAGGTGCTATTGTTCAGGAATTGTCTACATTGTTTTGAGACCAAGCAGACAATGAGACCAAGCAGACTAGGCTGTCTGGTCAGTGAGCCTCAGATCCTGCCTCCTCCTCCCCAGTACTGGGATTACAAGCATGTCACGACACCTGAGGTTTTTTCCCACATGGTTCTGGGGAACAAACTCAAGTCCTCTGCTAGCACTTCACCAGCTTGAGATTTCTCTCCAGCCGTTTATTTTTTAATTAACACATAAGTGAAATATAAATATAATACCAAGTAATGTTTTAACATGTGTATTGCTGTTTATTGTTTAGATGTGCATGCAATTTTAATATAGTAATACTTTCCGGAGTAATAATATAATAATTATAATAATGGAGTAATAATATTTCCTAGAGTACTAGAATATAAAAAAAGTAGAAAAACCTTTTTGGAAGATTCAACACCATTTATTTATTTATTTGTTTATTTATTTATGAGGCACACGGTTTCACTGTGTAGCTAATGCTGGCCTCCAACTCCTACTCCAGCTTCCCGAGTGTTGAGATTGGAGGTATGTGTCACCACACTCAACAACAGGACCAGTTTTTAGCAGAAGAGCACACTAAGCTCCATGAACTATTTAACTGAGGCTCAACAAGCACCAAGAATAAATACTGACTGAACCCTCACTGAATATCTGCTGAATGCATGTCCATGTGTTAAAGAACTTGTGCTATAAACAAAAAAAGCAACCTGGCTAGATACGGACAGTTCAGTGGTAGAGTGCTTGCCTAGCATGCACGAGGCTGTGAGCACCACAAAGTACCACAACAAACAAAAATCACAAAGATTATCACTGTGTTCTGTCCCTTGAAGATTATTTTAAAGTAAAAGCAGAAGGCTGTATAAACTGATTCTTAAATCCAGGGCTCTCAGGACTGCAGTGTGAAAGCATACCAGGAATACCACAGCAAACCAGTCATCTCCACTGGAGAGTGGCAGAAGGCACTCACCCTCCCCTAATGAGCACATTCAATGATATCTGTCACAGCAACCTGCACGGAAACAAGAGTCACACACAAGAGGAAGTGCTAAGGCGAGAGGACACAAGTCACAGGCATGAGTGTTGGTGCTACTCAAACACATCTGTATCCTGGCATTTGTACTCAACTATGTGTATGAGTTAGCCTGAATAGGAAACACACCTCAAACAGAATCAACAGCTTTAGAAAAATTAATCTGAGGTCAGATTCTAAACATGGGTGGAGCTAAGGGGAAGGTCACACATTACATTCTTCGTATTTTTCACCTCTCCGGCTATGCCTCCAGATCAGAGACACAGACTGTAGAGAGGCCAAGGGAAACGATGGGTGAATAATGAGCTATTTGTTATAGCAGAAAAATTATTAACTTAAAATGCCATAATATTTAAATTTATAGTTTATTACTGTGTAAATTACAAGCAGTACTTTGTGTAATTAGCAGCTCGCTGGCAAGGAGCTGTAAATGAAACTCATTATTTATGATCATAGTTTAGAAAGAGAAGAGAGGGACTGGAGAGAGGAGCATGGAGAACAGAGCGATGACCTCTGCTAGAAATGACAGCTCTCCCTTTAAGGTGATGGGGATGAATGTAAAAAGTACATCTCACCCTATTCACTTGAGATCATTAGCTCCTGCCCAATAAACCCTAGATTCCTCTCAAGCACACTGACGACAGCCTTCAAGATAAACTAACTCACATCCACAGAAGCAGAAAGTGCTTCCTTTGTTGAGCTTAAAGAAAGGCAGCAGATGGTGGGGAGACCATTACTTTACCTATCAATAGAAGGGGAAAGTAAAATCTCACTGTCTACTCTCAAGCTTCTGCCTTCTTTAGCCCCATCTACACAGAAGCTCCCTGTCCAACAAGGGTATTGGTCCATGGTCTATACATGGAGTAAGCCAAAAGGAACATAGTGGGATTCTTCTAGTCATCAAATGCCTCTCTAGTTAGAGACTGGAATTGGAATTTAAAGGTAAGAAATAAGAATCTGGCTGGAAAGACAGCTCAGCAGGTAAAGGCACTTGCTACCAAGTCTGCTGACCTGAGTTCAATCCCCAGGATTCACATGATTGAAGGCAAGAAGTGACCCCTGCAAACTGTCTTCTGAGGTAAACACACACAAAGTCATTAACCTCACGTTTTGGACTGTAGAGAGCTGCGTGATGCCATGCCTTACAGGTGGCGCTGATTCCCACCTTCCACCTTTCCAACGGTGAATGCTCTCAGATGTGTAACAACTCCATATACGGCTAATGCTAAGATCTGGCTTGCTTCTGCGTTTCTGGACCTATCTGCGTCTCCCACGTGGCTTGCTGGGGTTGGCTACCCAGAGGTTATTTAAGCTGTAGACTGGCTTTACCCCTGGGCAAGAGGTTGCGAGAGGTAACGAAAGGATGAGAAGATTATTTTAAGGGCCTGAATAAACCACAGTTAAGAAGAGTCCGGTGTTGCGTCTTCATTGCTGGCGAGAGAGACGCGACATTGGACCACCCCATGCCAAAAACTTCAGAAAATAGCTCTCTGGGTAGAATACAATACAAAGCAGTAGCCAGATGATTGTGACCGACAACCACACACATGGCTTGGCAAACATTGTAGCAGACATTCTAAATGTTTGACAAACTCTTCCTTACTCCATCTTCCCTGCTTGGCTAGGGAATCTTTGCCTTAGCCTATTTCTCAGTCTCTGGAATACAATTTGAATCAAGATCTAGGTACATGCCTATAATCCTAGGATTCAAGAAGTTAGACAGAACAATTTCAAGTTCAAGGCCAATCTGGGACACAAAGCAAGTACCAGGACAGTTTGGACTTCATATGGAGACCCTGTCTCCAAAAAGTTAAAAAATAAAATATATTTAGTTTAAAAAGAATAAAGTTACCATAGGTTCAAGTCTCTATTCTGCTACCTGGATGCAAGAAATGCCACACATTTCTTACTTGTGGGCTAAAGCAACAGTTAGGAGGAACCAATGGCCCTGGCAAGGACAGAACTGAAGAAGCAGCAGATGTCCCCGGGGGCCAGGGAAGAGCTCCTAGGCTACTGTAAAGCCGGCTTAGTGCTATATGATGTGTAAGGGAGTGGATGTACTCATTTGGTTCTGTTTGTTGTTGTTTAGCTTTCTCCTTTTAAATCAATTCTAGAATAAAAAGTCAAATTAGGAGAAAAATACATTTCTGAATTCAGGAGTTATAAAAAAACCAAAAGACATTTTCAAAACTTATACAATAATATAGAGTTAATCACAAGTGCAGAAGAGAGAGAGATCAGACCAACGGTCTATACGCAACAGAGGCAACAGCAAGCGCTTGGTCAGAACTTTTATGTGGATAAAGTGTTTATCTTTTATGTTTGTATCCATTCAAATCCCACATAACGTTCATTCACCCTTCTTAACTCCCAGAACATTTCAGTTGGTTTCATTAGCTCCAGAGAGTCCTGTGATGCCTTCAATGTCAGTAGGGTACGCAAATCCTATAGGGACTACCACCTTCCCACAGCACTGGAGAAACCATGAGATCTGTCACCTTCCCCGCCAGCCTTCTCCGCCCCTTCCTGAGGCACCGAGCTGCAGCTCCTGGCAACCGATTCAGACGAGCATGGTATCCTGTGGAAAGAAAAGGGCCTCAGTTGTTGAACATACAAGATCCATATGCACAGATGTTCTAACACACTGGAGCCCTTACCTCAGCATCTTCACAAGGCTTACTGTGCCCATATCTTTGTCCTCAGCAGTATGATCACAGGTGTACCACTGAGAGCAACAAACATCAACAAATACCAGATAACTGGCTAAATGGTTGATTGCTACTTCCTGAGAGTCCTACACTTACAGAGCTAAATAAATTATAAAACAGTCTTGTTCATTGTCACACATCTTAGGCAACAGCCCAGACATTCCAAAAAGTGAAATGAAACAAAGGAACAGACACGCATTTGTGTCAAAGTACACAATAATAGGATCATTAAAACAAATACATTTAAAGAAGTATTTTAAAACCATCCACTTAAAAATGACATAATTTCTTTCATGTGAACGCTCCTTGTAAGAACTGATCTTTCAAATTTCCAACAAGCATTCAGGAAGTATTGTGTCAGCTTTAGAGCAGGGTATGTTCCTGTGACGTGACTGACGCCAGGCTTCCTAATGTGTCCCCAGAGTCTACATGGATTGACTTAGTGGGAGAACTCTGAGCTTTGAGACTCACCCTTGAATCCTCTATAATCCTGAGCCAACTCTACAATTCAGAGAGCAATGCACTGTCAGAAGCATGCAAGTGATTGAGCAGGGCATGCTGAGTCTTCCCAAAGAGAACCATAAAGTCATGACCTTGACTTTCATTTTCTCCAAACTCACCTCTTTGAGCTGGCCGGGAAGGTAAAAGGAATGTGGGATCTGAGAGTTTATCCAGTCCAGAGTCCATTCTTTCTACTTCAGGGCAGTGATCAGGAGCCCACTTGGGCAGAAGGTTATGAACGGTGAATCCGGGGACACATTCTCCTTCATAAAACCAATCACTTTGCTCATCATCCCCTAAAGGAAACAGATCATGTCCTGAGCTGTCATGTTAAAATTCAAACGCCAGGAGGGTTTCTTAATGCTATAGTTATGATACTGTCAAATAAACCAAAGCACAAAAGCACCTGTCCAGTCCGTCTTGACACACATTAAGATAAAAACTAAGGCATCAACCTAGTTCCACATGAATGCTGGACTGTTTTTCACCACTTAAGTAGTAAAATCTAAGATCTAGCCTTTCAGTCCTTCAGAATCCATGTGGGAAACTCAAAAGTGTGTTTTCTCTCCAGAAAACCCAACAGCTCTAACTTACAATGAGGCGACTCATGCCCAGAAGTCAAGGTGAAGTTAGCAAATGAACAGAATTTGAACCCAAAACCCGACAAAGGCCAAGTGTTTTCCATAAAAAACAAACTGCCTTCCTTACCATTATCCATCATTTAGATAAACAGAGTTCAAAGCAATAAATGTTTCTCAATTCAAAAATTATAGTTTTTAATCACTGGGGAATTTTTATATATTTATATTTTACCATAATAGATCAGTAAAGAATTTATGCCTGAAGGAAGGGGAGAGGAAAAATGTATAGCTCAATTTAAAAAAATTATGCCCACACATTGTTTTGGTTGCTATCTCACTGATACAACAGAAAATCATTTTGAACTAGAAATCCAAACTACCAGGAAAAAACTAACCAGAGAAACAAGCAATAAAGCTCCCTAAGACTTTTCAAAAGGGTCACATTGCTCATTAATGGTAAGGTCCCAACTAACCCATATATCAAACCTCCTGGTTTGAACTTCCAATTACCTACCATAACAATTTCTACTAGAGTGTACTCCTGCCAACAAGACAGGAAGAAAGAGGCATCTTCACATCTGCTACCTCATCCCCTTTCCAAACCACAAGAATAAAGTAAACTATTACAACAGCATCTAAGGTTCATAAGGCCTTCAACCCCCAACATACGTATATGTATATGAGTACACACAAACACACATACACACACACACACACCAGGTTCCACATGCCAAACACATGAAGCCACTAACACACAGAATAATAACGACTTAAAATTAATGTGGAAATCCCCAAGATGGGCAATGGAACCTGTATTCTGCAAATAATAGCTATTACCACCAAGTACCAAAGAAGATGCTCTTTGGTATATACTGGTGTCTCACTGCAAACAGTTGACTTGGAAACAGGAGTTATCAAACTCCAAGTAACAGAAGCACCCGAGGGGCTTGTCAAAACCAGGATGTTGGGGAAGTGAGGAGATGACAACAGACGGGAAGAAAGAAACATGTCAGGTGACATTCAGACCGCTGGGCCCCATCTACCACCGTTTCTGATGTGAACCAAATACTAGTAAGTTCCCTCATGAAGCTGAGCAGGTCTGGGGAGCACAATCTGAGTGCCTCACCAGGCAGAGACACAGGTGGACTCAGGCAATGGTAAATGTGGCTGGTTTCTACGCACTATGACATGCTCATTCCATTCTCATCAAGAAGCATTTCTCAGGACATGACTGCAACAGGTAAACTCATTAGATCATGTTTTCTGACAATGAATTAATGCAGAATGGGAATTCACTCATGATTCAATAATAAAATTTTTAAAAAAGGACTTGTAGCTGGGCATGGTGCCACACTTCTTTAATCCCAGCACTCAGGAGGCAGAAGCAGGAAGATCTCTTGTGAGTTTGAGGACAGCCTGGTTTACATAGTTAGTTCCAAGACAACCAGGACTATGCAGAGAGATCAAGCCTCAAAACCAAATAGATAGATATTTCTATGGATGAATGAACTAGCTGAGGTAGAAGAGGTTTTGTGAGACTGTCAGATAAAAATCCTGTCATCTTGCTTCTCTCTGCCACCCTCTCTTAGAGGCAGCCTCGGCTGTTTGATCCCCAATAAACCTTTTTGTCTACGCAGAGTAGTCTAGTTTGAAGGCTTCACTGCACCCTCTCTTACACTTAGCTTGGTTTATCAACTTAATTGGGGCTCTTGTATTCCAGGCAATGTATAAGGGGCCATGGTTAGAAATAATTCCTGGGGCCAAGAAGATGGCTCAGTGTTAGAATGACTTACTGTGATCAGTACCTAGGTTCGGTTCCAAGCACCTACACGGCAGCTCACAACCATCTATCATTCTAGTTCCAGGGGGATCTTATGACTTTTCTGATCCATTCAGGATCATGACCCCCTCATGGTGCACATACATACACTCAGGCACACACACATACGCAAAACTTAAAAAAATAAATATTTAAGAATATTAATCCCCAGCTGTGGAATGCTTCAATGGAAAGCACATAACACAATAGGTGATTTTAAAAAAGCAGAGGCTGGAGAGATGCTTATTAGTTTGGAGCACTTGATGCTCTTGCAGAGGACCTGGGGTCAGTTGCCAATACCCACATGGGGACGCATGACCATCCATAACTCCAGTTCCAGGGATTCAATGTCTTTCTTCTGATCTAAGAGATTACCAGGTATACACATAGTACACATTACATACATGCAGGCAAAACACTCACATACTAAAATTTAAAAACATCTAAAAACAAACAAAATCAAAAGGCGACAGGTGCATGCATGCACACACACAGGTAAAGGCTTTCAGTCAGGGTACCTTCAGGAAAAAATATGCACATTTATTTAAGTGGGATACTTGGTGACTTTTTAAGACACTTATTAAATCCAGGACACTACAGGGTTTATCCATATGACTCTATCATAATCTTCAGGCATTCAAACTTAACTAAGGCAAATGTTATTCCTCAGTAAAAAGAACATATCAATCCTTCCCAAAAGAATTATGCATGAGAAATATTACTGGTTAAAAGTAAGAGAAACTTTCACAAGTTCCAGCCTTAAGAATCACTTCAGGTCCTATAAAAACTACAGACTCCAGGGACCAACTCCAAACCCATCTGATTTCGAACAGCTCAGGAAATCTGAACTGTCCACAGTTCCCCAAGTGGGTCTCACACACCATCAATCAGTCACTCCACAGTTACTGAACAGTCACTCACAGTCACTCAGTGAATCAATCACTGTGACAACGTCCCAAAGCCGAAACCAAGACCACTGTGCCAGAACTGGAGAAAAAGCTCAGAGTTAAGAATGTGTACTGCTCTTTGGAAGGACCAGTGTTTGGTTTCCAACACCCATATCACACAGCTCACAACCTGTAACTCCAGCTCTAAGGGGATCCTGGCACCCTCTTCTGGGCTCCCCGGTGACTGCGCTTACATGCACACACCCACACTCAGACACACATGTATACACATAATTTAAATTAAAAAATAATAAGTCTTTAAAAACACTTCTAAACTTTTACCAGGATTACCTTGCCGTCCTTCATCATTGGTGAAAAGCCCTGTGTCGCTGCTGCTGCATACACTGCTAGTTTCGCTAGGAAAAAAAAAATACAAGAGAACTCAGTCATTCCAGTCAAAAACCATTTTCAAATGGAAACATCCCAACTGTCTTTCTAACTTCACTTCAGCCCATTCGTCAATCTGGTATGTAAATTTCACATAGAAGATACTATGTTTCTATGTTACCTTCTATGTTTACATAGAAGGTAAAGTTTACTCATCTCCCCACCAAAGGTAAAAGAAGAAAGCCAAAACTCTTGCATATTAAACTAGTTTCAATACACTTAGAGTTACTGTTATAAAAGGCCATAGGAAGCAGCAACCAGTAGCTTATTGTCCTTTTCTTTCTTCTTCTGGTGTGACCTATGAGGTATGTAGATGAGCGCAGAAGCCCTCAAATGGTTTCTTCAGTTTTAAGTGGTTGGGAAAAAAAAAAACTCCAAAAATGAGTATATTCTGACATTTAGAAATTACACAAAATTCAAATTTCAATGTACATAAATAAAGTTTTATTGGAATGCAGCCATGCTCATTCATTTATATATCACCTGGGGCTTACCATCTGCAAAGGTAAGCAGCTGCAGCAGAGAGTGGAGAGCCTACAAAGTCCTCAGATACTGGCTGTGTGGTGTGGCTGTCATTAAAGAAAAAGTATGTGGATCCCTGTATTATAAGTTCTACCCTGGATGAGTATGTTCCCATTGTTTTAATGTCAAAAAAATTAAAAGAGATGTTTTATCATACGGTATATCAAGATTCTACTAATTTCAAGTCACCAGCAACACTACAACATACAATGCTTCTATGATTATTTTTACACGGAATCTATTTTATCCTTATATTCTAAATTATAAGGGCAGGCTCTACAAATATCTGTTGATCAAAAAACACGATAATCATTTATCTCCTACTGTGAAAACAGAGAATATTCTTGAAAGAACTTGGACTGAACTTATCTAAGAGTTTCCCATATTGAGTTTGTAATGACAATGATGTCATAAAAACATCATCAGGACTCTAAAACTATAGGACCAAGGGAGATATGTATATTCTTGATTTAAAACATTATGTCTATAGAACACTTATCCCATAAAACTATCATTATTCTACCAATGTGGAAACCAGTGCATTATCTGACGGCATTTTCTAATTCTGCGTATTCTCTCAGAGTAATTTGCGTTGTGAAACAGTAAGTACATGTTAAAAAAGAAAAACAAAACATTGTTAGCTGGGTGAAGGCAGCAGCATGTCTCTTTAATCCCAGCACTCAGGGAGCATAGGCAGGAAGATTTCAGTGAGTTTGAGGCCACCCAGGCTACACAGTGAAACCCTGTCTTGAAAAACCAAATAGAAAAGAAAGAAATTTTTTCCCAAAGATATTTTATTTATCATGTGTACAATGTTCTGCCTGCCTGCGAGTATGACTGCAAACCAGAAAAGGGCACCAGATCTCATTATAGATGGTTGAGAGCCACCATATGATTGCTGGGAAATGAACTCGGGTCCTCTATAAGAACAAGACAGTGCTCTTAACCACTGAGCTATCTCTCCAGTACTCAGAAAGAAAACTGTTAGTACAATTTGCTAAGGAAAAAAAAAGTGGGAGCTGCAAAGCATGCTTGCACACAAGAACTAAGAAGCAAGTGCAAGAATGAAGTTCTTGCTAGAAAGGCAAATATGTCCCTTCTGAACTAGGGCCAAAGGTGTCCAGTCCTACAGCCCTTCTCACTCATTTTGCTCACAGATTGCTTTTTAAAAATTAGATCTATTTTATGTATATGGAATATTCTGCTTGCATGTATGTGCCGAAACCCTCAGAGATTAGCAGAGTGTGTCAAACTCTCTGGAACTGCAGTTATGGATGGTTGTTAAGTCACCGTGTGGGCGCTGGGAACCAAACTCTAGTCCTCGTGCAAGACAAACAAAGTGTTCTTAACTGTTGAGCCATCTTTCCATCTCTGAGATTATGACTCCTAACAAATCAGACTATAAGATTTCTGAATAATTTAATCAACTATAAAATGTTAAATTAATACTCATCGGAAACTAACTCATAAGAGGCTAGAGATGTTGCTAAATGGGGAGAAAGCTTGTCTAGCATACATAAAATCCTGGGTTCAATCCCCAGCCCTGCATAGACCAGGTAAAGGAATGTACATGCACAATCTCAGCACTTGGAAGTGCAGGTAGGAGGACCAGAAATTCAAAGTCATCCTCTTAGATAGTTGAGTTCAAGACACCCTATCTGAAACAAACAACAATAAGAAACAAGGGGTGAGGGAGGGAAGGCACCGGTAGGCAGACGGATCAACAGGTAGGCAGGCTGCCTGGCTGACAGCTTTTGCTTTGTTTTTGAGACAGGGTCTCTCTACACAGCCCTGTCCTAAACTCGCTCTATAGACCAGGCTGTCATGGAGCTCAAAGAGATCCTCCTGCCTCTGCCTCCCTAGTGCTGGGTTAAAGATGCTCACCACCAAGCCTGACTATGGCTGATACCTTTCAGTAAAAACAACTTTCTTTTAGCACCTTTGTAGACAAGCTCAAGATTGCAAGATGTCAGGCTTCTGCATATTCTTTCCCACCGCCAAGCCTTCAAACGTTTTTCTAACTTTTTCAAGAACCTTCTGACTGAACAAGGAAAAAAGCTGTTTCTCTCTTCTGTTCAGAGAAACTGATCCCACCTCTGCAGAAACCATCTCACGTGTGGTCCTTTTAAGCTGAACAGAAGACAGAATCTAGCCTCTGAATCTTCAGATAAAAAGGAAAATTAGCCAACGAAGAGCAGATAATGCAATGCTAACCAATTAAAGAAACAGCAGCTCGAACAGTCTCTGTGCCTCCAGGGTTTTGCTCAGGAATTGTCCTGTCCTCCCCACTCTCATGGGCTTATGAGATCCAAACCTACCAATGTACACACAAAACTCTTCTAGACTAGCTCTAAAATAATGGAGAGAACTATATTACTTTGCACAAAAATCCCTCAATCCAATCCTAAAGTAGGAGAACAAAAAAGTTTCTAACAGGAAAGTAAAAGACTCTCTCCCCATTGGCCCAGTTATATGTTTACCAGACACTGCTGGTACCCACACCAAGCCTAGCAAGAATCATCTCAATGGCAACTTAAATGATGCACTTGATAAATCTTCAGGGTCAAAATAGCAGGAGAGGAATATAAAGAATTAGGAGAGTGCTTTCCAAAGACAAATATCTTTCAATTAATAAGGGATAGTATAGGTCTGGAGTTTAGCCTTACAACATTAGGAAAAGCATCCCCTTTTAACAGCTGGAAAATGTCAAAAAGAGTCACGGGGCAGGAGGGGTGGTAAAAAGAAATTTAGCAGAGGTCAGAGAACAACTTACAGAAGGTGAGTTCTCTGGTTCACTTATTTATTTGTGTATGTGTGTGCATACACTTATATGGTGGTCAAGAGGACAACTTCTGGGAGTTGCTTCTTGTCTTCCACCATGTGGGACCCAGAGATTGAACTCAGGTTGTCAACCTTGGTAGCAAGCACTCCTACCCACTGAACCATCTAGCGGGCCCTATGGGTTGTCTCCTTTCACCCTGTGTGATCCAGGGATAGAACTCAGATCATCAGGCTTAGCAGCAAGCACCTTCACCCACTGAACTGTCTAACTGACCCCATACTTCTCTACAATGCTTTCCCCTTAAAAAATATTTCCATATATCATTGAGCAGCATGATCACCATTTTAAATGAGACACAAAATTAGAGCCTGGAATTTGGACCACCAGCTGTATTATCTAATTACTACAGCATTATTGGAAAAGCAACTGAAGCACAACCAAACGAAATAACAGAAGTGTAAAGGAAGCCAGCGTAGCCAGCACCTCCCACCAGTATCCTATTAGAATGAAAAGGTGGTTGGCACAGACACACACATCACTTACACTCTGCAAGTAGCGTTTTGCTTTATCACACATCATACAACACACACATCTAAGCTTCCCACCAGAACTTCTTTGTAATTAGAGGCTCTCTCAGTGGAGCAGATGATTAGGCACATATTCACATCCACATAAGCATGGATCACAGGAATGAGCCCCATAAACTGCCCCTCACACTTCCTCTACTATAACCATCTCAGTCCATCACTTAACAGTCCAGCATTATATTCTCAGAAGTGACTTGATGGCTTTCTCTCTAAAGTGTTCTTTCCAAATTCCAAAAATGAATTGAATGTACTTTTAGAAGACTAAAGGTTATAGTTTCAAGTGCATCTAAGGTCTCAGTTTTTAAACTATGGTATCTTTATTTTATTGGAAAAATGAATTGTTTGGTTTTATTTCATTTTCTCAATTTGAAATTCATGCTTATTAGAGAAAGCTGAGCCAATGAAGTGAAAACCCAATCTCAGTAGAGAAACATCTTCAGCAGTCATTCTCAACTAGAGGCAATTTTGCATCCCTCTCAGGGTCATTTAGCAACGCCTCCAATTTTCTCTCTCCTTACTGGGGACAGAAGCCTGGGCCTCACCACTGGGTGTACATACACCGCCACAGATCTTGGAAGCATTTTTCATAATAATGGCATTTGGGTGAAGAGAGAGAAGTACACTGGTGCTTGCTGACCAGACAGCCTAACTGAACACCAGTGTCAGTGACAGACGAAAGGCTAAGGAGGACACTGATAAAGGAAGATACCAATGTCCTCCTCTGGGCTCCACACCCAACTGTGCACATCTGAGTGCACACATTCACACAATACACACACACACACACACACACACACACAGTTGAACGATAAAGTTATCATACATGTTTGTTGTCCCCATTTATTAGCCAAGAAGCTTAAGACATTATCTCTTACATATAATTTTTATATATTTAAAATTAAGCAGAAATTTATGGCTCTTATGATTATTACAATAACAAAAGCTTTTAGGTTAATTTTTCAAATTTCGTAATAATGTATTTAACAAAAACTTTAAAAATATTTTAGAATCCAGAAGAAAGTAAAGTGTCATTTCTACACACACGCACTGACCCAAGACACCCCTACTCTTTCCCCCT